CAGTCCTTCAGGCCATCTGGCTTTTCTCTTGCCCATCCCCTCCCTGTGGATACCACCTGCTCCTCCCACAGCCCTGGAACCTCAATCTGTGTTCTCACATCCTCTGCACATGACTCTTAAGAGTGTGATGGCTCCCACTGAAGGTTTCCAACTGCCCCTCTCCCCCACCTACTCAGCAGCTGGGCATGAGCTCTTCAGAGAACCCTCAGAGTGAGCACAGAGCTTAGTACACAGCATGTATGTGATGCACATGGGCTAAATGTCCATACATAATCATGGAGATCACATGCAATGTTGAGAATGAAGGAAAAGCTGTGTGTGTGTGTGTGTGTGTGTGTGTGTGTGTGTGTGTGTGTGTGTGTGTGTGTGTGTGTGTGTGTGTGTGTGTGTGTGTGTGTGTGTGTGTGTGTGTGTGTGTGTGTGTGTGTGAATGTGTAACCTCAGAGTCCACAGATAAGGCTACAGGCCTGGAAGAGAGAGTGGGGTGCAGTTTTGGTACCTAAGAACACACAAAAAGAAGTGGCCACAGTGGACCAATGGCCAGTGCCTGCCTGGGAACATGAGATCATGAAACCCAAGCAGTGGGCACACAGTACTTTCAGGAACACTGCCGCTGCACAAGAGCTTCACTGAGGTGCTGTGGAGTAAAAAGGCCGAGAAAGAGGAGAGTGGAAGCTGGGACCTGCATCCCCCCATGGAAAGGGCCCTGCCCCATGGTCATACCTGGAATTTGTGGCATTTGAGGCAGCCAGCCCTGACCCCTGGCAGCTCTGAACTTAGGTGACCAGAAGGCTCAAGGCCCGGTGACCTCAGAACGCAGGCCATTTAGGACAGCCCAGCACTGTCCGGAGCAGACACAAAGATGGTGTTGGGCCCAGGAGAGGGTTGCCCACAGATCTCATGCAGTCTGAGACCATTTGCAAGGTCCATGCTGCAGCACCCCATCCAAGTCCAATGGAGAGCAGAACTGGATGGAAGCAGGGGAGTGGGTTGGAAGAGAGGGTTTTTTGTTTGTTTTACTGTAAAATAAATACTGGCACTGGACTTCCCATCAAGCGACCTAGGTTTAATTCACATAGAAGGGTAGGTGGCTCACCTAAGCACATTGGCTTTGAAATCACAAGTATGGGGACAGAGGAGGTGCCTGATTTTGAGAGGGAACACACTGAGCTTGGTAGCTTATGGGCTTTTGTGTGGCTGTACCACTCAGTGTCCTGAGGGAGATGAGCTCTGGAGAGACCGTCTGTCATGGGGCAGAACAGAAGAGATGATTCTCAGAGACAGGCAGGAAATTGAGGGGCCAAGGGGGTGGCGGCCTCTATGCTCAGCCTCTACCCTAGAGAAGGGCCACTAGCTGCCAGGGACACTCAGGCAGGGAATAAACTTTAAAAGGAGGATAGATGGGAGATGCTGGTAGACTCCACTTTTGAAAACCTCTACAGAGGGAACCAGCAGTTAGCGTAATGGCTATGTCGCTGGACTCCCACGTAGTCGACTGCGGTTCGTGTCCCGGACCCGGTGGCTTAAAACTCACACCGGGCGCGTGTGCGTGCGTGCCCAAGATCCCGAGAGGATAATGGAGGAGAAGGGATTGTGGCGTGACCATCCCCCCTGGGGGGTGATTTCTCGCTTTTCTCTCTCTGTCTGGCGAGCGCGCGCGCCCTACAGTGAAAATCTCTCAAAAAAAAAAAAAACACACACACACACACACACACACACACACAAAAACCTCTACAGAGAACAGAAGAAAATAAATTATGTCCTGAATTAGGTGTCAGGTGGCGACAGTCCAAGAGGAGATCTGAAAGATGCTAGGGTGATGTAGGGTCCCTGCGGGGAGGTTTTAAGGTAGGGATGGAGTTGTTGATTCTCTGTTATACCCTCTTCCCCAATTTGTTTTCTACCTGGCTCTGGCACCAGATTAGAAGTGGATTTGGTCAATGGGCAGTTCTGGCAGGTGACAAAGTACAGGAGAGCAGGTTTGGGATATTCTCTGCATCCCCACCCCCACCCCACCCAGTGTCACTTCATAGCCACAGCTCCCACTAAGTGACCCCTTCTCCACACCTCCTGCTCTCTCTAGGCTTGACAGCATCCTGCCTTTTCTGCTCCTTGGGGGTCTATGACTGCTCGTTGCTGGTGCCTTTGTCTTCCTGTAGCTTCTCTTTACCTGGCCGACACTGCCAGTTGGTTATCTCACTGTGCGAGCCTTCCTCTGAAACCCCTGGGGGTGATTTTACACCTGAACTTGATGGGGCTGATGGGTTGGGAAAGGGTCTGAGCTAAGGATCCAGAGTTCAAAAGCTTAGATACCATTGGATCAGAACAGTGGTCTCAGGTGGAGGTGGGCTGGAGAAAGGGAAGGGAATGATGGGCACTGAGATAATGGCAGAGTGCACTCATTCTCAGGGGCTCAGTTCTTAGGCCCCACTGACTGGTGCCTTGCACACCATGGACCTGGTGTTGCCAGAGTTTCTGATTTTTCCAGTTTTTTTTTTTTCCCTTTACAAAGTTGAGTTTTTAAATTTTAAATGTTCATTATTAACTTTAAAACATATGTTTAATGATTTTGCCATAGAAGGACCAGCAGATGATGTAATGGTTACGTCACTGGACTCCCACATAGTCGACTGCGGTTCGAATCCTGGACCCAGCAGCTTGAAACTCATGCTAGGCACTTATGCGTGCCTGCCCAAAATCCTGAGAGGAGAAGGGATTATCATATGATCTTCCCCCTGGAGGGTGATTTCTCACTTTCTGTCTCTCAGTCTTTTTCTGTCTCTCTGGCGAGTGCATGTTCCCTATAACAAAAATCTCTCTTAAAAACAAAAAAGGATTTTCGCCATAGGGTCCATGCACTTGCCGGAGAGAGACAGACAGAGGGAAAGTGAGAAATCAACCTTTAGAGGGGATGGCCATGCTGCAATCTCTTCTCCTCCAGTCTCCTCTTGGGATTTTGGGCACACATGCACAGCATACTTTTCAAGCCATTGGGTATGGGACTGAAACCAGAGATGGCCATGTGGGAATCCAGTGCCTCAACCACTACACCAACTGCTGACCCCTAAAACATTTTTTTAATTGCCAGAGGGCATGGCACATGCACTCACCAGAGAGACAGAGAGAGAGAGTAAAAGGAACCCATTTTACATGGTCACACACAATCTCTTTTTCTCCATTTTTCCATCATGTCAGAATTTTGAGCATGTATGCAATTGTACTCAGTATTTTTCTTTTTTTAAAAGAACTATTTTTATTTAACTTTATTTATTTTAATTTGACCAGAGAGACAGAGAGAGAGAGAGGAAGAGAGAAAGCAAGCTGCCAGGTCTAGGACTCAAACCATGGTCAGCCACTTAGGAGTCCTTAACCACCACACCTCCTGTCCGCCCGTCCTCAGTGTTTTTCAAGCTTTAGGGACCAACACTTGAACCACAAGGTTGGCTATGTGGGATCCCACTCCCTTAACTACTGAGCCATGGGCTGGTCCAACTTTAAGAAATTTTGTAATAAATTCCTTTTTTTTTGGCTACAGTGTATATGAGCCCTACAGTTGGGGGTTGGAGAGTAGAGAGAGTAAGAAAGCACCTCCCAGTGGGGGTGGCTATACCACAATCCCTTCTCTTTCATTCTCCTGTTGGGATTTTTGAGCACCGATGCACATGTGTCCCATATATTTTCAAGTTCAGCCCAGAACTTGAACCATGCAGTCAGCTATCCTTAATCACTGCACCATCAGTTGGCCCTAAAGCATTTTAAAACACCAAGAACAAGCATAATTATTGTGAGAGGTCAGATTCAGCCGAGGTCCAACAGCCAATACTCTGGGAAAGACAAGGGTTGGGGTGATGCACCCCTCTGTGGGGCAGAGGGTCTGACAAGCTCATTAGCCAGAGGCTGAGGTTCTAAAAGGGAATTAATTTGTTATTCTATTCTTTGTCAGGGATGAAGCCACCTCTAGCCCAGTCAGGTTTGTTGCCCGTCTTGAGAACCAAGGCCAGAGGGCACCACAGCGTAGTACTAAGAATGGTGGTACAAGTGGGGTGGAAGCTGGAGAAGGAGCTTGGGCCCCGTCATTGCAGCCTGCGGGCACCAGAGCTTTCCATCAGACCTTAATTGCTTCCCCTAGAGGTTATGCAGACAGGTTTTTGGGGAGAACCTCCGGCTGTTACTGCTGAGTCCACCGACCCATCAGGCAGCTCTTGTGGCTGCCTATCACTTTTGCCTATGCATAGACTACTCCCTCTACTTGGATGGTCTCGTCCTTTCCCATATCCCACCAAGCACCACTCCCATATTCAGAGCCACTCCCCATCCGACTCCCTCAGTTGTTGACTATCCCTGAGACCCAGCACTGGCCCTGGAAGTGGGTCTGGTGGAACCAGAGCATCTGGTGGAGCACCTGGTTCCCTAGCTCTAGTCCTGCTCGTCCATCACCAGCTAGTGATTGTCCCCCCTCACCCCCTAATTACTTCAGGGTCTGACCTCACGTGGCGGCAGAACGCCCCAGGAAGCCTCCCTCCACGCGGTGGGTCCAGAGAGGGTCGGGTGGAATGGCGCTCCCTGAATTCAGCAGACACATTCCCTACGGGGAGAGTGAATGAGCAGCCCAGGAGTCTGAGGTGGCTGGGGGGCTTTAGCGGCGGAACCGGCGGCGCATCGCCAGGGGCGGCGCTGGGGCCTCGGTACCCAAGAGTGCCAGTGTCCTGGGAGCCCACGAGAGTCGAGGACACTTCAGTTTCCTCCACAACCGCCCTCTCTGCACCAACTGTCCGAGTGGAGCGCTCCCCAATATCTCGGATTCCGAGACGACCCCGCGTGACCGGAAGTGCCCCCCCGTGGGCGCAGGCGGGGCGGGGCCGGCC